TCAGTATTGCCAAACGGCCATGAAACTGGTTAACCTTAGAAACAAAGTACTAAGTACTTTCGTGGGAAATGCTATGCAACTGGTTCAGGAACAAAGGCGTCATGGATCCACTGGTATCCACGATGGCGTATAGAGAGATAAGTGTTGCAACGTCATCATTTATCGCGTGAAACAAAGACCCACTGCCACTTTCACCCATGCAGCAATTGGAGGTGCATGTACTGTTGCTTCACTTCGTAGGACGAGATTACTCTATCGCTAATTTCATCAGGCGAGACAACGCAACAGTGTTAAAATCTGTTTCTCTTCGTCCCAGAAAGCTACAAACAGGTCCAGTTTTTATTATCGTATCACTCATTGTTACGGGGTGCTGGGGCATTTCGTGGCGATACGTCTCCATCGACTGAATGGCGGATCGCTGTAAACATGGCTTGGTCGACTTGCTCCATGCCTTCTCGGATGCGGGAGGCGGTAGCATTATCCAGCGGAAAAGGTGGTTTGCGCAGACGCAAACAAGTCCACCTCAGCGCCACCACCATATCTTCTTCGTTACCATTATCTTCACTAACACCAGCTCCATATTCACTACCAGTAGGAGAATCGAGTGTTGCTGTCGTATCAGTATCACCAAACGCACCGGGGAGATCGCGTGGATATTTCGCTATTACAACGAAATAGGTTATATCCTGGCGCACACGCTCCGACTCACGATACGGATAAAGCGCGTCGTCCTCGACGTAATTGCAGACCGCAATCCCCAATTCCTTGCCGACTGCTCTTTGCGGGTTCGGTCCTGTACCATCTTCCCAATACTGCGTAAATGTTACGTTGTTTGTGTCTACCTGAACGCCGTGGTTAATAGTCGTAACGAGTCGATGCTGCGCGATGGAAGTATCCCAGTCTTCTTCGTCATTCTCTCGGATCGTCAGATGCCCGACAAGGTCCGAAATACTGATCTCCAAGTTGTATGCAAATTTGCGCACACCTTCGAACGCTTGCATCACATTTTGCGCCGAGAATAAAGGTTTGATATCGAAGCGCACTAAGCAGACATCCCCGTTGTCTGACGTGAAGCGCTGGAGATCCGTGAACTCTGTATCCATTCTCATCCGCCGCGAGCGCTCCGACAGAAAGTAAACTGCCTCCTGTAGACGCTGCTGCTTCATCGCCAATAGCGTCTCGTGTCTCTCTCGAAGGTCCGTTCCAAGACGGATAACTGGTTCATATTTACTATGATCGTGAGCTCTCTGCAAAAACGACCAATCATTCCGTCAGTACCATTTCCCATACGATTGAAATTGCCGTCCAAGTTACCAGAAACTCGGAGATGAAGGATTGCGTGTTGGCAAAAATGATGCGTTGGCCCTGGATCGACTCTCGAAGCGCCTGGTTCCGTCTCATCCTCGCTGCGAGGGCATCTCGTCGAATTTCCACCACCCCGCGTCGTGCCAAATGCTGCAGTTGCAACATCAAGCCCTGCACCTTCCTCTCTAACACTTCCGTCTCCTCCTACACGACACATTTTAATCTTCCGCTCCAATTTGTTGCAATTGTGTCCCCGTACCTTGCGTCGATAATACGTCCGAGCTCGCAGCGCCGTCTTCGACTGCCCCCCATCGTTTCTCTTGGACTGCGTCTTCGACCTCTTGGTCTTTGCAGCGCTCGGCACTCGCAAAGGCGGGGAACGCCGAGCCTCATTGCTGCTCGGTGCAGGAGACCCAGCATTTGCCATTTCAGAAGCTGACATCGTTGCAAACGAGGTTTTGCATCCGAAATGGAAATTTAACCACTATCCTAACCGTGGGAGGTCTTGGATAAACTTCAAGTGGCTAAAGTAGGGTTTAAGAAAGCGAAGAGTGCTTCAACTTGAATATTTTTTTTTTACTTTTGCATTTTATTGCATGTTGCCTTGAGCGCCTGCAGTTCGTGCGGCTTCTACCATCGCGGTGCCGATGTGTTCGATCCCGTTCTGTATGCGCGCTACTGCGCTAGATGGGACGTCAATGGCGCCCTGTCGGAGGCGGAGACACCACCATCGAGTGAGTACAATGATCGGCTTGTTGTCGGGCAGGCGGTTCCAAGAAACCATCGTGATAATAGTTACATCCTGCCTCACCCGCGTGGGTTGGTACGGGAAGGCGTCGTCCTCGTCCACAGCGTCACTAATGGAGAAGCCGACCTCGTTCTGCCCCGGTCCAGGCGGGATGTACTCGTTAAATGCCACATTATTCGTATCCATTTGAACAATGTCACCGATCGTAGTAACGAGGCGGTGCTGAGCTACGGAGCTGCTTTGACGAGGATCATCATTCTCGCGAATGGTGTTATCCCCCAGCACCTCCGACATACTGATTTCGATGTTGTAGACGAAATACTCAAGAGCATCGACAATCGCTTTGACACTTCGAGCTTCAGGTAGCGGCACCACTTCGAATCTTTCCGAGCACAAGTCGCCGTTT